ATAGCTCATGGCTTCACTGAGTTACGCAAGCCTCTTCGCCACAACAAGGCAGTGATCCATGAAGGGGAGTCCAGAATGAGCTGTCATCTATTTGCACTAGAGCAAATAGAAAATGCAAGGAGAGTTACACCAGGCCTGATTTTTATAAGCAGGCTAACTGATCTGCTTATAAATCCTAATGCTTGAGTAATCAGAAAGAAAGATAGACCCAGGTGTTACTTTAATATGAACTGAATGGAAGTTATACCTACAGCATCAAAACATTCATTTTCTTGGGACTGTTTGCAAGAATAGGATAATTGGGATTTTTTAGTACCTAGGCTTAGATGTTACTATGCATCTTAAACAGCAATGAAACATTAAGATTTTTGATTGATAAAATTTCCATCCAATTTTTTTAAAAATAGGTGCTATTTAAGAATGAATTTCACAGGTTATCCCAGATAACCTGTTCTTTGGATGATATTCTCAATATAAAACCAGTGCTGTCTTCATTAAATATCACCAGAATAGTGTCTGAAGGTGAACTGTCAAAGGAGAAGATGCTTGATGCATCCTTTGAGAGGAAAAGACAAAGGAAACCTGGCACCAGCCAACAGGCAGAGTTTAACCTGCTTCACGGGTCAGCAGGGTGGCAGGCACATTCAGGACAAAACTAGAGATTAGGCCCTGACTTTCTGGGTTTACTAAGAGCTTACTTCCAAGCTGGAAAGTATAGGATTACAACATTAAGGGCCTACAAGAAATTCACACATAGCCCATAGAAGGAAGGGGCTACACAATGCTGTACTGTTTATGTACGCTTGGAGACTGGCATTTTGTGGTAATCTATATTAAATAAATCAGTAAATAGACCAGCAGAAATATGAGTAGCAAGGAACAAGGTTGACTCTGTTAGCTGCTACCTTTGCCTTCTTAGCAGAGTATACTTGTTTTGAGGAACCTGGGTTTACAGTTGCTGTCTTGATCACTGAGAATGAGATAAAAATCAAATGAAAACAACAGATACTGTTTCCCCAAACTAAGGCATATCAAGATGTTGACTTATTTTAATCATACAGTTCAGAGAAACGTAACATTGTCCCACCACCATTAGCTGTAGATCTTTCAGGAAGCTTTTTAGCTAGTACTAAACTGAATCCAGACCTTCTCAGTAACTCCGCTTATCTCCTTGTCTCCATCTGCCTTTACACAGGGAGCAGCCCCTTATGGGATAAGCTGCAAATGTATCAGGAGTTTTTTCAGCTGTACTTAGCAATAATTTGTGCAGTTAAAGAGATTTCTGAAAGCATTTCTAAACAGAAGCCCTGGAAATGTCCTGTTGTAAGCAACCACACTGAATTGTAGGATGGGAAAGGGTGCAAAGCCCAACGTTGTTCAAAGGCTGAAACACCATTCCTCCTCCTCCTCTTCCTCTCCCAGGATTAACAAAAGCTTTCAAACACTTGACTGCATTTGCCAATGACCAAATGGAATCTTTTGTTAAAAAAGGAACATTCTGAACAAAGAGAATCACTACTGCAAAGGAAAAAAAAGAGGAAGAAAAAAACATTTTTGTGACAGGTAGTTAAGGCTTTCATTTCCCACTGAAACAGTATTTGCCACCTATAATGACCAGGGTTACACAATTTTCGAGTGCCCCAGAATCAGACATCAAAGATTAGTTCAAGCATGGTGAAAGAGAAATTGACTCAGCTGCTAAAGGATGACAGTTTCAGTCTATAAACCCTTTAAAAGCTAATATGTAAGCTAACCTTTTTATCAGTTTGAAACTGTGCATGGTCCCTAGTCAACTGATAGATTCCAAATCTTGATAAGAATTGGCTTTCTTCATATATTTTATATATTTCTCTAGATAAACACATTTAGCAGAGCTTAAGAATGCAGAAAAGGAAAAGCTTTATTGCCAATATTTGAGAGTACCCGTTCCATTCTGCATTTTTGTCTTGATTTATCTAGCAAAGCAGCCTTCTTCAACCTGGTGTCCTGCAATTGGACTGCAATTACTATTATTCCTAATAAGTGTGGCTACGATCTGGGCATGGTAATTGTAATAACACTTTTAATTAGCAGCAGGTTGGAGAAAGCTGCGTGAAAGTATATTAGAATCACCCTATAATTCAGAGTTACTCAACCTTTGAAGGCTAGGAGTACATTTGGAGTTCTGGGATCATGTAGTAGGCACACTCACAAAATGGCTGCCAAGAAAGAGAAATCATTTTGTGAATAAGCCAGTATAGTGGGCATGGCCAGTCACAAAATATCCATCTACCAGAAGGCACACCAACCTCTGCCATGCCAATGGGATTTTTGTGAGGCCTAGGCACATTGCTGCAAATACATATGATACCAAAGGCTGTTGCTGTGACACACATACACACACACACACACAAACAGGCACAGCTTTGATCACATTATCATGGCTTCCATATTAACTTTTTTGTCCATACCCTTTGAACATATCTGTCTCTGACCATTTTGAGCCCGTTCTGGCTTCAAGGCTATGACATTGCCTTGAAGGCCAGTTCAAGTTGCATTACTGGATGTAGCAGCAATTACAGTGTTGGCTTCATCCCAGTATGTAACCTTATACTTCCAAGATGCATTAGTTTATAGCGCTGCGCAGGCAAAAAGATGCTTCAGATTGCATTAGAACCTGTCTGCAACTCTTTAGAGCAGCTGCTTCTTTTCCCAGGATCATGCTGCAGCTGACATTGGGAAGAGATGCAGCTGATTGAAGGAGTTGAAGGCAGCTGCCAAGGGCAGCCTCGAAGTGGGTACAATTTGTTAGGCTTTGTCAATCTTTCTAACTTTGAGAGAAGTCAGGTGGTGGTAGAGAGTGGGAAGAAAGGAAACAGAAGCAGGAATGTAAAGGGGGGGCAACACATTTTATGCCAGTATAGTTTTCTGCCAATGTAAGCATGGGTGGATAGCATTATAATTTGGTAGCAGGGAAAGAGCTTTTCCTGATCAGATTAATGATAAAGCATAATATAGTGAGAAGTCCTATATTCTCTAGCTGCCTCTCTGTGGAAGAGTTCTGGCCATACTTCTGGTGACCTCTGTGTGTCTGGTCAAAACATTGCACATACATGTGAGGTAGTAGATGAACTAACTACAGTGATAGACTGTATTGGTGGGAATATAGCTTTTGAATTCTCTCTTAACTGTCAACCCTAGCAGAGATTAGGAGACAACAGAAAGAATTCTAGTCTATTCTGTCCTTGCATGTTAACTTTCTCCTTACAGAGATTATTTTTTTAATTTTAAAAATTGAAGGGGCATTCAAATGTAAAATCCTGCCGGAAGTGTTTGTCTTTCCTACTACTTTTTTCTCTCTTCATTCTGTTTTATGTGGACACAGGATGGCCATTTATATATTGCCAAAAAAGAGAAAATGTATCACTAAAACAGAATGAGGACCCATTCACATTTAATGGGTATATGCTAATAATATTTGGATATAAGTACGTGTTTAAAATAATTATTCTAATTTAAATAGAAACATTAGAGTCTTTTCTTCTCTTACAGCTGAGATTAGTCAAAGCCCTGGTTTCAGATGAGTTTCCGATCCTGGCTTATTTGGAGCTGTAAACCTTAAACAGTTTCCTGCACTGGATGTAATGGGAAGTTGTGCCAAATTGTGACTTCTTGGCCTGTTCAGTTATTCCCATTAAAAACAAGAGTTACGTGAAAGTCAGGAGTCTGGTTTGCTACAATAGCAACACACAGGCGCCAACCAGTTCTTACTTTGGGAAACAAATGGCTTTTAGTCTGTTTTGACATGTTGGCAGGAGAACGAGATGTTGGATTTTGAAGGTATTTCAGTAGCTTGTTTACTAAAGTTTGTTCATTAAAGGTAGTGGTATTTGCAATAAAGACATTTTCTGAGATCTGTATACTTGAACTAGTACTGGTATGGGTAAAGCCTGACATCCTAGTCTAAATACAAATTTCTGCCATTTATTTCATAGTCAGCATGTGGGTGAGTGTCCACTTTAGAAAGTCTAAGATAATTTGATGGGCTGAACATTAAGTTCATGAAGAGCCCATTTTAGAGAAAAGCTGCTAACCCAGCTAATGTTGGCAGCTACTAGAAAGTGTCTGTTTCAGAACTGTTTATTTCATTTGTATTTATTTTAGAAATATATCTGGAATGATGAAGTCTGTCGGCAATATACAGAGCAAGCATAGTTAGGAAAACATTGGCCCCAGTCTAGGGTACTCTATCTGGGCTACAGAAATCCAGATGACCATTAGGTGGAAGCAAAGGGAACTGATCACTCTTACATCTTTGTTGCCTTTTAGTGGACTTTTTGCAGCCCAGTTAGGGTAGCCCTAGGCCAGCCAGCATGTGGTCTGTTGGCACATGGGAGTTAAATAAGGCTAAGCTCTAAGAGTTACTATGATTAAGCTCCTGAAATGAACAGCAAAAAGATGAGCAACCAAGAAGCTAACGTGATCATCATGAAATAAGGAAGCTGTGAATGAAGTAGATTGTACAGAACTGTAATTACTGGTCTAGTTAGCAGTGTAGTATTTGAGGTTTTGGTATCTCTATGAATCTTAAAAACGTGGAATTAACATGTGACAGAATATATAGGAAGGCATTTAGGAGAAAGCACAGTTTCCATTTCACCTTTTTTTTTGTCAACCATTTTGCAAATATGCGCTATATTCATTTACATGGCTCAATGTGTTAGGCTTTTTGGGTAAAATCAGAAAACAATTTTAAGCATATGATATGATAGATGTATTGAACCCATCCACATTTTTTCTACTTCACTGTTGTTTGGCTTGCAAAGTACTAAAAGAAACTAAAAATAATGAGAAAATGAGGAACCCATTTTAGAAAAAATAAAATCAGAGGTAAATCATAGAGCAGGATCTTTGCGCAGTGGAAGAAATGCTGCTTTCTCTCCCACTGAAAGCCTGAACAGGCATCTGGGTATAAATATCCTGGACTACTTTACAAGACTATTGTTTACTAGGTGATAAAGAGAACCAGCTGCTTAAAAGCCTGAAGGATAGATACAAGAGAGAGAGAGAGAGAGGAGACTTGTAAAATATTGCTGCAAGTCCTATGTGTCAATCCAAGAACAGACAACCAATTGTGTACTTCATAGCCCTAATAAATCAAATGCACATAAAGTGGTACAGAAGAATTTACCAAACTTTATTCTAAAACAAATGATCCCTAGAGAATTGTATAGAAGTAAAAAGCACAAGACATTAATGTATTTCACTACTTATCAAGAATACATGGGACGCTCAAACTGTTCTCTCTTTCTGGATCTCAATCTGGATGGATATATTTTGCATAAAGAGATGACAAAATAGAACCTTAACGTGAGGAGTATTCCAGCTTCCACCTCTCCCAGCCAAAGTAGTATAATTGAACTTGCTTTATTTTGTTTGATACAGAGAATAATGTGTCATCCATTACAGTCTAATAACACAGATAAATATTTCACTAACAAAAATTGTTCAGCGCTCGCATCCTATGGCACATGCAGTAAAGAGACGGCTACTGAAGGATATATTAATAAAACTGCAGAAATATAGGAATTAACTCAGGGACAAAGTTGAAATGGGAAGAAAAGCAAAATAATACTTCTGGTGTTTTCTCCTCCCCCCTTTTGTGATTCTAAATATATAACCTGAAAGAGATGGTGGAGGTAAAGCAAACCATTTGCTTTATAAAACATTATAATTCATCTAACACTCAATACATCATTAACAAAGCTCTTTGTTCTGTCATCCTAATCTCTAAGAAAACTGCAGTCTCTAATATATCCCCACTGATTACATGCTAGAAAGAAAACTATGATCCGTATAGTAAACATCAGACCACGTTATTGATCCCAAAGGAATGCATTTGCTTGAGGTCATTGAAAAGGCAACTCAAAATCACTTCTAATATTAATGGTCAAATTGTTACAGGCATTCACAAAGAATTGTTAGCCCTGTGATCCCCTTCATTCTACACTTTATTTAATCAGAAGCAAAGGACAGAGAAAAGTATTATGCTGGGATACAAAATCGTAAAGCAGCTTGTTCATGACGAAAACAGCAAATCTTCTCAGAAACAGACTGAACAGGGTGAACATCATAGTTTTGACAAAACAGACACCGAATAATAAATGGTTGTCAAGGAAATAGGATTGACTTACCCCGAGACCAAAAATGAAGCAACTTCTGTTCTCTGACTTGCCTGTTCAGCTCCTACAGGTCTGCGGGGATTAATGCTAACAATAAGCCAAGAGTAAAGGGGAGGGAAGCAGGAGGCTCTGTTCATGAGATCACAGCTAAGCAAGCTCTTAAAGGGAGGTGAATTAGCACTAGCATGCACTTCTTGGTGGGTGTCTCTGAAACAATAATGGAAATGGCATTTTATACTTGTCATTAGCACACTCCAAGCCACATAGCAACAGTCATTAATTTATATTTCTGCATCCTAGGAAACTGATTTAGTGGGCTCCTGGAATGGCATAATGCCCAACTCTCAAACGAAGCTCATTATTTTGCTAAACTCTTTTTATGTGTGGGTCTACTTTTGCAGCTGTAGTAAAAGTAGAAGGGTGCTTTGGAGTACCCAAAATAGCATTTGATTCTATCTATCTATCTATCTATCTATCTATCTATCTATCTATCTATCTATCTATCTATCTATCTATCTATCTAGTTTATATGGCTGCCCATCTCATAAGAAGCGACTCTGAATGGTGTTTAACAATTAAGTGAAACATTATATAAAAACAGTCATTAAAATATAAAAGTCATTGTTAAAATATTAAAATATACAAACCATAACCAGAAATTGCTTTGCCTTGCTTGCTAGAAGTCAGGCCTTCTTTTTGCCCAACTATGACATACATTTCTGCCAATGCAAATTTCTGGAGGCTGAAAGGCTACCCATGGTGCTGAAATCAAATTCCAGTCTAAAAACAAAAGGATCAAGGAACCAAACCACACAGAAGCTGTTCTCATTACATAAATTGCAAGGAATGTGAAATAATCTAGGTAGCTAAATACACACACATGCACACATACACGCTACTCTGTCCTGTCAAATCCATTCAGTTCAAACTTACAGATGCCACCAGTAATTAGAAAAGATGAACAATCAACAGTGTGGCTAGAAATGTAGAGTGGTACATCTCCCATGGGTACAGTGTGAAGATTATATTCATTTAATTTTGAAATCTATACTTTAATTCCAGAGGTAAGGAGGGATTTCATTGATAAATGGTTACAGCATAGTGAAGGAAATGTACACCAAAAAGTCTCAGAGGTATTGTCATTATTTCACAGATTTCAGAACCAAATCTGATGCAAAATTTGGGATTATAGCCAGACATAGTCTAGTTTCATAAATCATGCTAAGTCATAGTTTGAAGACTTGAATCTGGCAAAAAGGATTGGATTCTTCCCACCCACAATCCATCCACTGACTGACTGGATGATGTCAAATGAGAAAACCTTTGGAAACCTCGTCTACCTTCATTCAGTTGAAAACCTAGAGCAACGAACAGAAGTTTGGAAGAGGAGGCAGGAAGAAGCTTGATGAGGCGGAGGGGGATTAACATGTTATTAGCCTGGGAACTGAGGAGTCCCTAGCTTGGAGAAATTCAGTTCCACTGAAATCAATCAGACTTCGGTTAGTCATAACTAGCCCAAATTGCACTGATTTAAGTGAGTCATTTCTAAGCATGACTAAATCTGGATTCATCCTTGATGCATTTAGCTTTACATTATATTTTGCATTATTACTCCTTGGTCATCTCTTTAGGAAGAGAGTATTTTTCTTCAACAGAAATTGATATACACATCTTAAAGCAATTTTTCTGCTTGTGCAGTCACACTTCATATTAGTGATGAGAGAAGGAGTTTTACAACAAATGTAACTTTTTTAACAACTTCACTGAATATCACTTAAATGCAATTGAGGGGAAAAGTGTATCACTAATTGCCCTTCCTAGTATATTATCTATATCTAAAAGCTAACATTAAGAAATATTATGTTTATTATTTAAATTATCATTACTTTTTTCCTAATGTGTGATCCAACATTGCCCTCTAGGGGTAGCTACTGGGCAGATTTCAAAGCTCTATATTTCACAATTTTATCTTCAGCATTAGATAAAAATATAATTTAACTTTTCTAGCTTTCTTCTAGCTTGTCTCTTATAGAGAGTGCATTAAGAGAATACATTTCTCAAACTGAACTAATATTAGCTCTGAGTTGTGTGCATGCCATGGATTTTAATCAGAAATAGCACAGGAGAAAGAGATCAAGCCTCTATTCCTCACTACCACTTCCCAGTAAAATCAATTGCCCTCATGGCTGCTTTAAACCAGTGTTTCTCAACCTTGGGAACTGTGGACTTCAACTCCCAGAATTCCCCAGCCAGCCATGGGAACTGAAGTCCACACATCTTAAAGTTCCCAGGGTTGAGAAAAGCTGCTCTAAGCTGCTCTAAATTCAATGGATATTACCACTGATAATGCCTGCCATTACTATGTGTTGTATATACACCTTGGTAGGACAGTCTTGATTGTTACACAAGCCATAAATAAGACTAAAGCATAAAGCATCTGAGTACCAGGTTAGGAGAAAATGACAATGAAGTATACTGCAGATGCTGAATTCAAATCCCTACTAAATAAAAATGTTCTGGAAAATCTTGCTGTTCAAGACTTTCAGTTTAAAAACTTTCCTCACTTCTAACTTCTCCCAAAAGTCACTATGGTAGGGTTGCCACCAGGATTTCACTTAGAATAAAATTCAATTTCATTTTGATTTTCTTTCCTGAGTTCCTTTAAAGTAGATTATTTAAGGAATTTCAAAGCAACCCAAGAATCTCAATATTCCATTAGTCCCTAGGATGTTTCTTTTTTTTTTCTTTATTATTGAAAAGAAACACACACACACACACACACACAAAGTGCTTTAACAAAAAAGTGAAAGAAATACAACAAAAACATGTTAATATGTCACTATAACAGTAAACAATTGCAATTCTACATCTACTTATCTAATGAAAATATGATTCTAGTACTATATATTTCTAATTCATTTATATGACTATCATCTTTTTTTTAACCTGTATTTTATATAAATGAGCCCCATATTTCACTGTACTTGTCCATACAAGGTCTACCTCTATAGGCAATCCACTTGTAAGTAGCAAGTGCAATCAGGTCTTCCATCCCTAGGTTACTTCTTGAGTTTCAAATTCCAACAAACCTGGGAAGCTGTTTTTCAGGAAGAGTATCAGTGACATGTCAAGGGAAAATAAAAAACAAGCATGGGATGTTAATTACATTGTTTGTTCTTCACTGAAGGCCTCTTCATTTTTTCACAAATATTCAGCACATGTAGGAATGTGGGGCACAGATCATGATCTGGCCATCAGAATAAATGAGTCGTAATCCTTTGGCTACCATTGTCACTGGCTCTCTCCTCCCTGCAGTTTTCATTGGAACAATGCAAATTCCATTGGTTCAGAGAAGAACTTTTCTACAGTGCAACTTGTAAGACTACATGGCTTATCCCAAAATTGGATCACAGCAAGGGACAAATAAGTTAAAATCCACACTAGCCCCAGGAGAGTCTTTATTTCACTTCTTGCCTCCCTGTCATCAGTTGTTTTTGAAAGGAAAAAAAAAACCCTTTAGCATTCAAGGACTAATGATATGGTTAATGCCACATCACATTAGTATGGGCTTGAAAGTGTTGCAATTTAACAGTGATAGTTCTCCGGGGGCTTGCCATATTAGGGAATCATTTCAATAAGTCAGCTGAATTTACTCACCAACTTAAATCTCAGAAAACCCACTTTTGATAAGAACAAGTATTTTTCTTCCCTTTTTATTTGCACATCTGCTTTATTGAGTGTTGGAATAAAGGTTTTATAGAGTACAGAGTTCAGATTGTTTGAACTGTGATACACTTATATTTGAAGTTTAAATGTATTTCCATAATGTATTATAACCCAGATAAAAGATATAAAGCTAGTTTAGAGCCAGCCATACTTCCATCTACCACCACCAAGTAGATCTGGTATCTTTTTTCCTATTAAAAAATGTCATCCTCTTCAATGGGGTTGCCATATGACGTTTAAAACTGGAATGTACCTAGAGAAATAAAAGGAACCTTAGACTCTAGGTCAAGGGGAGAAAGCACAAACTATTTTGGTAGAAGGTTATAAACTATAATAGCTATATATTACTTTCAGTCCTGGGAACAATATGCCTCTTGATGAAGAACAGGTAGCTGCTATCTCTGATCATAGTGACAGACTCCTTAACACATTTGTATAAATGGAATACTGGACTAGATAAGTCACTAATCTGAGCTAGCAGAGGACTTAGATTTTTATTATCTCTGAAGTCAAAGCAAAAGTCTTAGGAGAATTTTAGATTAGGGCAGGCAATGTTTGTGGTTGCAAGATGCAAGTCAGCCTCTTGACCTTCTGCAAAGATGCAGGAGGCCACCCTGTAAAGTGATGACATCATTGGAAGGCATGAGAACATTTTTTTCATTTCCCTCCTCCCACTTTTTTTTAGGTTTTAAGGAACAAAAGCAAGAAGTCTAAAATTTTCCCATTCCATCTCCAAATCCCACCCCCAAACATGAAAAATGATCCAGAATGTAAATGCTGATTCACACTAAATGAATATTTCTGGAACAGACAATTTAATATCAGCACAGACAGCATGGGCAAATTCGGCTGCCCTAATTAATTGTTATGAAAGTTCATACTTTTTTTAAATGTTGGTGGTGTAGCAGCAGATGGAAACAGAGGTGGGCCCAAGGTGATCTGGATTACCCATGTCTTAAGTGATTAGGCTTACTTATGTTGCTTCTGCCACTAGCTAAAGGAAAGAGACAAACGGATATGAGAGAAGCCATAATGACATTCATCCACTCACTCAACCCACATAATGCCAGGGTGCTTTCAGCTGCCAGAGCCGCATTATGGAAGAGCAGGAAACCAGAAGCTGTGCCAAATATAAACAGGATGGCATGCCAGAAAATGAAATGCAGGAAGAAGCAGAAGCCAAAATAATGGTCTAGCTGGAGTTAGAGCTTAGGACCAAAACAAGTCAAGGTCAAAGAGCTTGTGCAATAAACTAAGTTAATATATTATACTGAACCAGAGGTCTCAAAATCACAGGCTCCATGCAGGCGTCCAGGCCATCTATATAGTCTGAAGCTCACAGACACATACAGCAG